ACCTAATCAAAGAAAGAATAAGAGCTATAATTTAATGTCACAGTTGTAAAACAGGAACTCTGAGGTGGTGAATGAATAGCACACAATGAAGTGAAGGGAGTAAATGCCAAAGAACAGTAGAAATGTTCTCAGATTAATATCCAAGGACCAATATTTTTAGCAAAATGGTTTCCTATTCCTCTAGGAAATTATAATTATTTAAATGTCAATAATATGGATTCTGGAGCCAGATTAACTGGGTTTGAATCTAGGTTCTACACAGCTTTGCTTCTCTGGGACTCAATTTCCTTATCTATGAAACAAGGATAATAATAGTACCTAACTGCTCCAAGGAGTAAATGAATTAATTTATGTAAGACACTTAGAACAGTGCCAGGAACATAGTAAGTGAATTTAAAATTATCATTACAGTGGTCCACAATTCCTCAAACCTGATGCTAAATACCAGAAGCTCCAAAATCAAAAATTTTCTCTAACTCATTTGGTGGCAAGTACCTAACATGCTCTGAATGCAGTTGGCAACAAAACCTGATCTGAGCAAGTACAAAGCTACTTATAGTCTTTATTTATCCCACTCAGTGTAAATATGCACGCATTTTACTGCTTATATCTTAATGTGCTTGATTACAGAATGCTACCCCAATTCATTAGGATGTATTTATTAATTTCCTAAAATCTGGAAAATTCTAAATTCACAGGTTTTGGAAAACATTTGGGACTTATGTTACCTTTCAAGCCTGAACAGTTTCTATCTCTTAAAATAAAAGACATTTTCTTAAATAATCACACATAAATAAGATGCTGAACCTAATAGTAGAGAATGTTAGGATGAAGAAAACACTTCCCAGTGCAGTTAACGGGACCCTGAATTCCCAGGATGTTCCTTTCAAATATAGTCCACTTGTAATATTTTATTCACATGTCACAGTAGTTGGAATTTTCAAATTTTAAATCCTAGGGCTTGCTTAAACATAGTCTATTTTCATCACTTAGATCACAAATAAATAATTAAGGCTCTTTGACAGGCATAAATGTGCCTTGAACCATGTGCACCAAATCATCACAGAACTTAAAGTTGAAAGAGACCCCTCAGAACTAATTTAAACTACTATCATTTTCCTTCCAAACTGATTTTATCGTCCATAAATTTACTCTCTCCTATGAGGTAAGAATAACCTGCCCTCACTTGTCCTTAGACTGTCTATGGGAACACCCTGTAGGCAAATGTGAATAAACTGGGTGGAGTACACTGACAGACTTGGAAACTAAAAGGATGACTTGAATTTAACATAATCTTATAAATTTAGTAGATGCCTCAGTTCATACTTTAGAAAATGACAAGAATTTCCAAGTCCAGAATAAAGGAAGACTCATCTAGCACATATTAAAAAATAAATAAATGTTAAGAGACTTAGCTATCTTAATGAACTCAATGAGTCAACAACATTATGTGACTGCCAAGACAGCTACTGCGATTAGGGACTAACCACATCAACAGCAGTATCCCATCCAGAAAGAACGAAGCACCTGCCCCCTCTGCACAAGCTAGTGAGAGCATATAGGGGAATATTATGTTCAGCTCTGTTCCACAATTGGGGAGAGACACAGAAAGACTGAAAAAGACCAGAAGAGGGATGACCAGGATATTGAAGGAATTTGAAGCAATGTCACATAAAGACCAGTTGAAAAAGCTGACATCATTTAGTCCAGACTCAGAGGGACCATGATCACTGTTCCCAAATCCCTAAGAAATGTCATGGCACAGAAAAAGCAGACTTGTTCTTCATGGCCCCAAAAGGGAGAGAACCAGATCAGTCAAGTAACTGCAGGCGGAAATTTCAGCTAAACCTATGGGAGTATTTCTTGAAATGCAGAACCACATTAGGAGGTAGTGGCTTCTAAGATCCTATCTAGTCCTAAAGATCCCTAATTTAAAGAATCAAACATTTGTCATTACCTCAGTGTATTACACTGATTATTATTACTTTCTAGTATCACAGCACCTCCTTTCACCCTGCTTAAAATGCCCTACCCAGTCAACCAACCAGAATGTTTTACCAGGTTTATGAGAGAAAAGTGTCTGCTTGCAGGGCAATTAGTTTCAGTTTGCAAATCAATGTCCCTGTAAACAAAAGAGGGCCCTAACTGAGGGGCAGGCAAGAACTCTCAGCTAGATCTTTATGAAAGAAATTCTTATTAACCCAAAAAGCAGCTATACAACCATCTTACCAAATAATGTATTATCAATAGCACTGAATCCTCCCAGAAACATTGAAATAAGAAATCCTGAACAACCATCTTCCCAAATGCCAGGGAATTCAACTTTGCAAGCCAAACTAACTCTTTCAAATTCAATTAGAAGTTTTCCTTCTGTCAAAGAGATATTTATGCTTGCTGTTTAGACTGGAGCCCATGCTCACATAAAAAGTCCATGTTTGATCATATCACTGTAAAGTTAAAATTGCCTATCAATAGACCCAAAATCCGATGTTAAGAAGTAGATCTAGGCAATCCAGAGTAAATTCACAGAAAAGTACAAACTACTCAATACTTAAAAACACAGGAGTTTTCAAAGTTGGACATCCTTCTGAAGTCTTCTCACCCAAAGAACATCACAAACATAAGATTAATATTAGTGTGTGGTAATTTACAAAAGCTGTGAACAGTTCAGACGGCAAATATTAATCAATTCAGCTTTACTTCACTTGAACTTGATTTGGAGTCTAAGAAATTCCAAAGTAATAAATATATGATGGATTTAACAATAACACTCTGTACTGCTTCTCTGTGTTTTGTAAAGTGAAGACCAGAAACAATCTAAGTATCCATAAATAAGGGATTGGTTAAATAAATTATAATACATACAACAGAAAATGCAAACTTTAAAAAGAATAAGGTAGATCTTAGATACTGACATTAAAAAAAGATCCACATACATAGTTAAGTGGATACCACAAGCCACAAAACAATTTGTATATTCCATTTTGATTTTTAAAAATATAGTTTACAATACTCTGTATGTATGTTCATATAAGCCCAGCAAAATGTTTGAAAAAAGATCTGACAAACTGCTAAGAGTAGTAACTTCTAAGTACTGACTGGAACTAGGAGGCAGTACAGGAGTTACTTTCACTTTTGTAGGCTTCTGGTTGTATTTTTTGACAGTAAGAATTACCTTTGTGGCTTAAAAAACTAATAATAGCAAAAATAATAAAAGTAAAATAACATCAATTACACAGACTTATTTATTCAAAACTAACCAAAGTAAGTGATCCTGCTACTTACATGCTGTGTGCTTACAATTCCAAAAAAAACGTAATTCATCCTTTCTCTATTATATTTTACTAAAACAAATAAAAATCAGTACAAGTCCCTACTAGTTTTCTCCAATGCTTTCTATCCACAGGCACACACACACACACACACACACACACACACACACCTGGTCATAAACATAGCTAACACACACGGTGCTTAATCTACACCAGGAGCTGTTGCAAGCACTATAAATGTATTAACTTATTTAATCTTCACAGCAATCCTGTGAGGTAAGCACTGTTATTATCTTCATTTCACAGGTGAAGAAACTGAGGCCAGAGAGGACTAGTGCCCTGCCCAAGCCTGTATAGCTAATAAGGGGCAGAGCTAGAATTCAAACCCAAGAATAAACTCTAGAGTCCATATTCTCAACCACTACACTTCCTGTCTCTCAGTACTATGTCAATCTCTCTATACGAAAGCCAAAAAGGATTACAGGTAAAAACCCAGCTAGTTAATGCACTCCTTGAAGCTGGAAGACATGGAAACTTGCTTTTTATGGGTAATCTGCATTCCTACTCATGTCATTGCCAAGCTCCAATCCAAGATACAAGACTGTATTAACCCTCATAACCATGTGGGAAAATTCTCTGCAAACTCAGTTATAGTCCACAGTCCATGTCTGACGCCACAGTAAGTCACTGAGCCTAAGATTTAGGTCAGAGACCCAGCTAGACAAATGAATAAATCTCTACCACAACTCCAAGCAAAAGAACTCAGAGACTTTTGCCCAACGTCTTGACAAGGTAGGTTTTATTTGTTTAGTTCCGGGCCCACTTTAGATTTAAAGGGGGAAAGAATAGGAGTTGTCTCTAACTTTGCCTGAAGACTTCAACCAGCAGGAAGAAGAGTCTTATTTTCTACATAGACTCATACAGAAATTGGCATTTATCAGCTTCAGCAAAACTGAACATTCTAGCTCAAGGAGACAAAATGGGCATCCTTGCTTAAATTGTGTATCTGTCCAAACATGTTGACCTTGTAACTGAGGAAGAAAAAAGAAATGGTGCAAAGAAGGGATTTAACCTAGTTTATAAATGTGCTCAACCTAGATACACACCTGCCCCAAATGACCTACTGAATCCACTTATTTGCAGGAAGAACATGGATTACAACGCCTTTATTTTTATTTGATGTTCTCCAGTGGTCCATACTACTGTTTGTAAATAAAATGCTCTCAACATCTCTTCCACCTGTCACACACGCACATCTGACATTTACATAAACAAGAAGAAATGAACGAGGAAACTGGAGCCCTGGGAGGAATCCCTTATCCTCTGCTTTTGACCCTTTGGTTGAAGGAGATACTATACTGGCTTTCTAGCTTCCCCCAATAGCCCAGGCAGAGGGGCTGGGTGAGTGAACCGAACCCAAAAGTTTGTGCACTTTTGGGTATCTGACAAAGGCCAGAAAATCCTGTTGGAAAGGAGATGTGATGCCGTCCACAACAGCAGCCACCACCTCCCGAGGGAACACAACCCAGGGGGGACAAAAGACTTTCTAGGAGGGGGAAGGGGGGTATCTGGAGCTTGGACCTCCCCTTGGAACCCGAAATCTGGGAGCCTCTGGGGGCAAGAAACGATCGATTACAGCCAAAAGCCCAACTCTAGACGCAGGGGACTGGGGCAAGGATGAGCAGGCGCCGGGGAGGCTGCTGCCAGCGAGGAAGCGCTGGGACTTACCTGGGGTAGGCGGAGACCGGGCCTCGGTGGCAGGTGGGCTGGGCAGGATGCTGCTGCTGCTGCTGCTGCTGCTGCTGCTGCTGCTGCTGCTGGGAAGAACGCGGGTCGGGGTCCGGGGAGTGGTGGGCGCCGGAACGGTGGTCGCTACAGGGGTGGTCGG